AAATAAATCTTAAAAAAAAAAACTCTACTCTGAAGAAACCCTGGTGTAACAGAAGTGTATGTGTAGAAAGTACCAAGCATTTCCATGCAACGCAAGAGGGGTGGAGGGTAGAAGCAGGGGAGCAGGGGCATTCCACTAGAAGTTTAGAGTAGCCTGCACTTGATGTCCTTGAGAGGGTGATTGAGATCTAGTGACAAGTTTTGCACATCTGTTCACCACTGTGGCCCCTCCCTGCCTGCTCCTGGAGCCCATGAAGCCAGTGGAGGCTTGGAGAGCCAGTTCTGCCCGGCCCCACCACTCTCACAGAGGCTCAGAGGCCAGCCTCAGTCCCCCCGCCCCCGCCCAGACTTCCAAGAGATCTCAGAAATCACAAGTGGGACAAACCGGCCCCCTCCAAGTAGGTGGTCTCACAGAGGGGCAGCAGAGCCAGAGCAGGGGCATCCTGTGCCACCCGGGGTGAGGGCGTGCAAGAACCAGACAATGAGACCATTGATAAAGCCCAGGAACTCGCTCCGGTGTAAAAAACTTCGGTTTTTAACTGCAGCCAAATTTCAAGAGAACTTTCCCAAAAGACCACCCAGATTTGGCCAAAACGGCTAGCTACACCCAATGCCTTCTTTGAGGATAGATCTTTAGTTTCTGCACTAATGAATCAGACCCTGACACCCTTGCATCTCACCCCTTCATTGCAAATACAGAGCTTCAACATGAATGGGGGAGAGCAGGCATGCATCAGGCTGTTTGTAAAGCTTCCGATTGAAAGCAATTACTCAGACCAGCCCCACTTTGCTTCCAGCTGAAATCCCACACTAATGCCTATTGGCCGCAGCCTGGGACTGATGAAGCAATCAGGAGGAAAAACAGATACCACTGACCTGCAATCTTACAAAGGGCTGGAGGGGAGGGTGATGAAGGCCAAGCAGTGGACTGGAGGAGGCTGGGGAGGGGTGGGGTGCAAATCACTGTTTGCAGATTTCATGCACACACATACCCCCACCCATCCCTGGAAAGACACTTCAAACAAACTAGCAAAGCTGTCTGCTGTGCCATCTACATAAACTTGCAGCCAGTAAGTTTCTTGGAAAAGCTTCCTGTTCCCCCTCCTCCCCGGCCATCAGTAGGGTGGCCAAATCCAAGCTGAAGTTGCTACCCTAAGTTGCTCCTGGAGTTTTCAGCCTTTGAAGGCCCAGAATGATACTAGAACCTACGCAGAGATGGAGAAGCAGGTCCTGGCACTCTGTCTGATGACCTTGTAACTGAAATTGTTTTATCAACTTTTGCTGGTAACATCCTCTCTCTGGATTCTGAAGACCACCCCAAGCACCTCTACATTCTACCCTCCTCCACTGTCCTCTCTGCCCAGGCTCCCCTTTGCTTCTTTGTTCCCCTTTGTTGATACTTAAGTGAAAGCCCCCATCGGGTGAAGGACACAGGTCGTGGGCAGGGGGAGTAGTGACAAAAGAGTGGAGGCCTGTGGCAACAGCCCAGCACCAGCTGTTCAAAGACCTCGATGGATTCTTCAGATCTTTCATACTGGTGGGGGATGTGTCCATTTTACAGATGAAGAAACTGAGGGCAGGAGACATGATGGTTAGTGGCATTTTCTGCCTTACAGCTGGGTTATTCCTTCCAAGCAAACGGCCTCTACTTGCAGCACTTGCTCCTCCCTTGTCCACAAGGGGCAGCTGCAGACGAGCACAGAGGCGGCAGCACAGTGCTTCCAAAGCTATTCGGAGAGCACTGGCCTGGACCTGGACGCTGTGTGCCTGTGGCAGTCCAGGCCAGCAGGAATCGCTCCCCTCTGAGGCCATAATGCACGCCTGATCTAGATAGTGAAACGTGCTTCCCTGGGACAAGCAATGCGTTTTCAAAATGAATTGCCATCTCTCTGTTCTGCATGGTATTTTACAACCATCTATCTTTGATTATGGAATGCTACCATTAGGGTAAAATCCTCAAATGCAAACCTACCCATTTTTGGCACTCATCTTAGAACATTTTGGCTGAAAGCTGGTAAGTGCCCCACTGCCAGGCAACAAGCACGGGCACACACACTATACACTCGGTCTTGGAGGTAGAGCTTGATTTCATTTGACTCAGCTTCTCTCTTTTTATTCTAACTGTGATTATCTTTCCATTTTTTGTTCCCTGGAAATGACCTTTTTTCTCTACACTAGGGGATAATGGACAGAAAACTGGACATGGAGCCACCAGACCCTGGCTTTTGTCCTGACAGTAAGTAGTCTTGCCACCAACCACCGCCCCCCCCCCTCAAATGTTGCAGTTGGGTACATTATAAACCCATAACGCCAAGACTCACCAGCTGTGTGATTAGAGGCAAATTACTTAACCGCTCTGAAACATAATGTCCTCATCTTCAAAACGCCTTAGTATCACTAGCCTTCAAGATTGCTGTGAGGATTACATTAAAAGACATGGAAAGCAGAATACACAGGTCCTGGTGTATTCTTGCTTCTGCTTCTTGCTTCATACCTACCTAGTCCTGCCTCTCAGGATCTCTTCAGGATCAAGATATTTATCTCACAAGATTATTTGGAGGATTAAATGAGAAAATATGTCTGAAATTATTGTGAAATACTAAACTATTTTAAACAATCATTTGCTAATTTGTTCAATCAATGAGCATTTCTTATTAAAGATTCAGTGTAAAGTGATGTGATTATAAAGAAAAACCAGAGAGAGAACTAGCCCTAGAGAGATTTTCCTTCTTGCTAAGTACCCCCACATCCCTGGAAAACCCTAATAGGAGGCAGTAATGAAAAGTGTTGGTAACGAGTTTATGACGCTCAGAAAACAAGCGATACCACCAGACACAGACCTCTGCGGGACTAGTCATGGAGGAGATCTTTGGTGGGAGGGCAGGAGATCTGGGGGCGGGTCTAGGAGGAGCATAGTAGTCAAAGTGTGAGGAAGGCAAGGGGAACCAGGACTGAGGTAGGTGATAATTAGGGTGCAGTGGCTGATAAGGGCACACTCATGGGGAAATTTCCTAGGTTTATAGTGGGGGAGCCAAGAAGGGTTTTTGAGCAGTTTGCTTAGAGATGAGTAATGTACAAGGAGGCTTGAACAAGGACAGAGGCTCACTAGGAGTCTGTTTTGATAGTTTCATAGAAGCAAAGGTCCTGAAATGGGTTCAAGAGAGTGAGAATGAAGGAGAGAAGTATGGTGGGAAACTGTTACAGAGAAAATGGTAGGCCAAAAGGCATCAGGGAAATTTCGAGGAGCTGGTCTAGGAAGGAAGACAATATTGTCTACATGTTAAAAGAAAAATAATTCACTAGAATGCCAGGGGACAGAAGGAGACATATCAGCCTTTTGTAGGACAGCATTCCTCAGCTTAAGCACCATTAACATTTGGGGGCATGTAATTCTGCATGGGAGTTGTCATGAGCACTGTGGGAGGTTTAGCACATGCCATGCCAGATACCAGGAGCACAGACTCCAAAGTCATGACAACCGTGTCTCTATATGTTCCTTGAAAGGCAAAATCATCTCCCAGTAAATTCACAGCTGCAGGGTGAGGTCTACTCATGGGGAAAGTTGTATAAACAGTGAAGGAAAATGAGACTATATGTTCCCCTGCAGAGTCTGTGGACTTATGTCAGGAACCTGGACTCTAGATGGATGGGACAAGGAGAGTGGGAGACAGAGAGTTGGTAGGATGAACTGTGTTCCAGAAGTGCACCCTGAGCTGCCCCAAGGTGTCCTGATAAAACATCTTCATCTTTATGAAAGCTCAGTGAAATAACAGTCACAACTGCATCACTCATGGAAAAAGGAGAAAAAGCAGTTTTCCAAGTGGGTCAGAATGAGGGTAGAATGAAGAACAAAAGGGTCCACACTTCAGAAGTTAGAAGTGAGGTACAGAAATCAATGCCGGGACACAGAATTGCTGTTCACTTCTGTCAAATGATATACATTTCTGAACAACCAGAGGCAACAACAACTAGGGACCTTATTAAAATTTCCATGTTGAAATAAAACACACATTTCTTAAGCGTGCAAGTCATTCAGTGATATTTTTCACAGCTTTATTTGAGATTAATAATGATACTTGCCAATCCTGATAATGAGAGATCTAAAGACTCCCAGAGATATCAAGACAGCTGTACATTCTCAGACAAGTTAATTGACTTCTCTGGGCCTCCATTTCTTCAACTGCAAAATGAAATGTATCATTTCTATCTCATAAACTTGTGAACATTAGTAAAATAAGACATACGGCAAGACTGCCACATTGGAGGTGATTCATTATTGTCTTTTAAAAATTCACTCCTCCATCCATTCCTCCACTTGTGAATACACCTGGGAGAGTTAGAGATTGTATCATCCAGAGGCCAGATATATGGCTGGTATCATGATTCTGGAGAATGTTTCTAGAGGTGCCAATTATATATATATGGGCTTCTTGGTATAAGCATGCTGCATCTTAACGATATCCAGAATGAAAAATGAGGAGTCCATTCAATTACCCACATTTCTCAGGCTCCAGATGCTTGATAATAATTTGTAGAACCTCCTTGTAACTGTTAGCACATTCTATAGGTTTCTGGTTGTTAACAGCTGAACTGATACACCCATATTCACCTAGTTTTAGTCTTGCAAAAGAGACTGATATGACCACAAAAGTTCTAAAAGCCCCACAAAAAGATGTTGAATTCTGGAAGTTTATCTTGGTTTGAATTTTGCCTTCATCTGAAAATCTGATCCCTTTCCAAAGCTGGAATTGGTTAAATAGTAGGTATCCACAACCATATGGACATTATTTCTCAAATGGTCTGAAGGACAGTGGCCTTTGGTGTCTGGAACTTTAGGATATTTGGCTAATCGATGCCCTAGTAATTAATTAACCATGTTGAATGAGAATCAAGTGAGTTATGTTGGTTTCAAACATTAGCTAGATCTTATGGGTCCCAGTTGGTAGACACCTTTAACTCCCTGAATAGTTTTATTCCTTCTGGGTGGTATTTCTGCATAAGATGTTCACTATTGCTTTTTTCATCCTGTCTTTGATGACTTGTCTGCCTGGGGTAACCACACAGGAGAAGATGAACCGGTGAGTCAATTACAAGTCTGAGCAGAATTTGCATGTAAGAATCAGCTGGTGGGGAACTGAGACAGTTTCATGTTTGCAACTGTCTATTTTAGGATTGAATGTTATCTCCTTTCATGTTATTACTAACTCAGTGAAGGAGAACAGGACACTGGAAAGAGCGTATACTTGTTGTCAGCTAGGTGGTGTGAAAGTCATAGCACTTATGCTCAGGACCTGAGTAATATGAAATGAATCACTTAGTTTCTGTGAGCTCCAGTTTCCCTGTCTGTGAAATGAGAATAATGTCTTTTTTATAAACGTTGATGAACATGAAATAAAATGTCATATATTTCATATACTCAACCCAACATATGTTAATTTTTTTGTGTATGGACAGTAATACCTACTTATCTATTTGTGAGTCATAAGAATACCAAGCTCAATGTTTGGGGTAAGATAAAATTAAGATGATGTGTATAAAACCATCTTGGACAAGGCAAGAGACTATAGAAACACTAGGTTATTTCACTCTAGAAATGAGTTTACTTTGGGCTATAGGGACGTGAACGGAAGTGATATTTTCCTATGTATATTGCAACTTTACCCATTCTATTTTCTTGACTTGTCCGACCTGACTTTCTGTTTTTTTTATATGGTAACATCAAATATTTTGTGGTATTTAACCCTTTATTTATCCTCTGGAATAATTTCAAAGCAGTTCCTGTTACCCAAGCATTAAAGATTTCCAGTAGATTCTTCTCATTCAAATAATAATTCATTCTGAATCATTACTTTCAAATGCTAGAGCAAAAAAGATTCCTTTCAAGTAACAGTTCAGAAGGGGGAAAGACATTTTTATAAGCAATTAATTTGCATCTTGTATTGAAAGCAAATACATTTCAAAAAATCAGAAAATTCATCTTTACTAATTAGAAGATAAAAGCAAGAGAACTGTGCTATAGGAAATCTCTACTGATATACTCTTAATTATAAAGCTTATCAATGCGATCCTTTCTGAAAATGAACAAAGAGTCTTGAAGTTTGATGAACTTATCAAATAAGGCAGACTGGTGAAGAGGCAAATTTGAAGTCAAGGCAAAGGAGAACCAATTAAATACTTTACAGAGTGCTGAAGAAGGAAATCCTGAGGTCTTTGTGTCTAATGCCAGTATGTCTGACCATGGCTTTGAAAATGGAAAACATGGTGAAAAAACGTTGCTGAGTTCAAATTCTGTCACTGGCAGTTACTGTGTGTGTTGTGTCAGACAAGCTATTTGAATTTTCTGAGCCATAAAGTTGGAGGAAAGTAAGAGGAAGAATTAATTTATAGAATGTTCTCAAAACAATGCCCGGTACTTTGTAAGCATTCATTGCAAGCTGTTGCAAATGATGTTGTGTGACTGTTACTGTCAATTTTGGTTTATCTGTTCTCTTTGAGGGTTGATAAAAATTAGAGTGCATTTATATGTGTAATTGCCATGGAACCTCTAAGTTTGCCATTAATGTTAATTTTTTTTTAATTTAACTGGCGCTTTTTTATTACCTCTACATAAAATATTATACACACTAAAATTAAAAACAGTGATAGGCATTTACATTTTTAATGGTGTAAATTTGTTTTTTAAGTCCATGTTTACCATTCATTAAAAGTTTTCAATTGCCTTATTTTTTATTGAGGTAATACTGGTTTACAGAACAGAATGTGCTAAAGTTTTAATAGAAAAATGGGGTTGTTTTAAGAAAAGTCATTTTAAAATAAAGATGATGAAAGAAAGTAAAAATCTTCAGCTTCACATAGCAATGGGTTTCTACAATTTTATGCAAATAATATACTTTAGCATGTGTTTCTTTAAAAAGGTAAGATTTAGTTAAGACTTTTTCCAGTCCTTTCTATTTACTGAGATTTGTTTTATGATAAAGACTATGATTTATCTCAGTGAAGATTCCATATGTATTCAAAAATGTATATTCTAAGGAGCAGAGAGGTGTGTGTGTGCGGGGGAAGTATGTATTCTACTACTGTTGGGTGTAGCACTGTCATTCAGTCAAAGTGGTTGTTAATGTAGCTCAAGTTTTCATCTCCTTGTTCTATCAATTACTGTACAGGGATATTGTAATCTCCAACTCTGTGGGTTTGTCAATTTCTCCTTTCAATTTTATGAGGTTTTACTTCGCATATTTTGAGGAGCTGTTGTTATATAGTTAAATTAACATTTAGAACTGTTTTGTCTGTGTGATGATTTATCCCTTATCATTATGAAAGCTTTTCACTGAATCTGGAAATCACCTTTGCTTTGCAATTGACTGCTATGTCTTGCTGTCTTAGGATTAGTTTTTGTGTAGTAATTTTGCCTAATATTTTACTCAAATTTGCCTGACTCTTCATATTTTAAAGTTTACTTCATGTAGATAGCATGATGAGTCTTGCTTTATTACCTAATCTATGCTCTTTTAATCATAGTATTTAGACCATTTATATGAAATGTAGTTATTGTCCCATTCTATTTTTCCTTTTGTATCATCTTTTATATTTAGTCTATTTTCTAGTTCCAAATTGATTGATTAATGTGGTTTATTTTGTTTGGCAATTACTCTAATATTTACATTAATCATCACTAATTCATCACAAAGTTACCTTTAAATAATGTGATATCACTTCTAATATAGTTTTACTCTGCTGAATGACTTCCTGAGACATTTCTTATAGTGCAAAATGAATTTTAACAATGAATTCTCAATGTTTTGGTGTGAAAAAAGTATTTCACCTTTATTTTGAAGGATATCTTTGCTGAATGTAAAATTTTACATGGAGAATTTCTCCCCTCTCAGCCCTCAATAACTTTAACAAAGTAATTCCATTATCTTTGGCTTGCATAGTCTCAGAGATCTATTTATTTCTTTGTAATATATCTCTTTTTATTGATGGATTTTAAGATTTTCTCTTTATCATTGATTCTTAGCAGTTTGCTTATAATGTGCCTTGATATGGTTCTGTAGGTTCTTATCAAATAAGCAGGGGGTAATTTACCATTACAAATTTAAAAATGTTCTGTGTTTCACATTCCCCTTTCCTTTGTATAGTCCAATTGCATGTATGTTAGCTTCATATTATCCCATGGAACACTGAGTGTCATTTTTGGAAGTACCTCTATGTTTCATTTTGGATATTTTCTACTACTGTAATTTCAAGTCTACTAATCTTTTCTTCTGCAATGTTTATTCTCATGAGCTTATCCAATGAAATTTTCATTTTTTATTGTAATTTTCAGCTTTAAATGTTTTATTTGGTATTTTAAAATATCTTATAGTCATATTCCTAATCTTCTTAAATACTTTAACATAGTTACAATAATATTTAAAATCCTTGTTTTCTATTTTCATCACTGATACTAAGAACTTGGAAGGATAGATAACATCTAGTTTAATTGACTCATGTGAGCCTTATGAGATAAGGGAAATGTTAGATAACAACCAGACTACTCTGCTAAACATCTTATGAATATTGACTAACCTAATTTTTATAGCATCCGTTTAAAATTGTTGATGTCATCCCCTCAGTTGAAGGCCAGAGAGGAATTAAAACAACTTGTGCTAAGTCACCTTCCTCCCAGTGCCAAAGTCAGGCTTTCTAATCCGCAGATGAGTGTTATTTTAGCACTACTGCTGCTACCCTCACTAATCCCCTCACCACCACCACCCCCCCGCCAAAAAAAAATGCTTTTCAAAAATAACTAAGCAAAGCAAGTATTTAAGTTGGAGCTAAGGTGCCCAAAGGCTTCTATAACATTTTCCACCTGACATTCACACTGATGAAAAATCAACAAAATATCTTAGGGGATTGAAGACACACACAAGAGAGGAACACAAACATAGATTTTTTTTTAATAGGTCAAATAGGCAATAATCAAAAAAAAAATCTTAATCATGATCTTTCTTTTTGTCAAGGACATCGATTGTTTACCAATGTTTCCAGAAGGAGGGCAATGTGGGTATTTGTATTAGTTGTAGAAATGACTGGAAGTCAGTGTGTATTCAGGCTACTTGGATTTTTTATATAAACAAGTAGACTAGTAGTTGTGATGTGAAAGTGAGTCTCATAAATAAGGAGACTTGTTCAGGATAACTAAGCTTTATCCACACTGCAAGTGGCATTGGATATAGGCTCTGGAGAGAGGTCAGTCCGAGTTCAAATTGTGTTCTCATCACTTAGTGTCTATAGACCTTGGGCAAGTCACTTACACTCTCTAAGTTTCAACTTTCTGACCAGTAGAATGGAGGTAATATATATTTCATAGAATGCTGTTAGAGGTTAAGGGAATTCATATAAAATACCTACCACAGAACCTAGCCTATAGTAAGCTTTTAGAAAGTTATTTTTATTACTCTGGTTTTTTTCCTGAAATTCTTTTTTTTTTATTGAAAGTCCCTTTTACTCCCCCCCCCCCAAAGCTTAGGTTTTAGAATCAAATAATCTTGGTTTTAATCCTTGCTTTTCCACTTACTACCTAAATAACCTCAAGTAAGTATTTTCATTACCTTATGAATCTGTTTTACTTGCCATTAAAATAGACCAATTCCTATTCCACAGGTTCTTATTTAAATTTAAATGATAGAAGATTAAATGAGAACTTAGATTTGGAACCATTAAGTTTGCTATGCCTGAGAGGCAATCCATGCAGAGATAAAATGGGACTTTTGGATAAACAAAACAGGATTTCAGAAGCAGGGTCTAGATTGAAGGTCTAAATCTAAGAGGTATGAGCTTAGATGGTTATGTGAAGCCAAAGAAATGTGTCCTTAGGGGTGTGGAAATGTAGAAAAAGAAGCAAAGCTAGATGCACCATGAAGAGTTTCAACTTTTAGAGGAGTCCAAGAGAGGAAAGATTTCAAGAAGGAAACAAAGGTGACTAGAGGGGAACTTTCCATGGGATTTAACAACATAGAGATCACCAGAGAGAGACTGAGCACTCTCAAAGTCAAATTTAAAACATTTCAGTTTCTTGATGTAGCTTCCAAGTGAGTGAATGGGACTGATTCAATCACAGAATTAGTGACAATCAGTCTTAAATATAAGCTGAGCCACCTCATTAGGATGAATTCCTGGTAATAATCAAGGTTCAGCCTTCTGACTTTTCCAGCCTAGGACTAATTATTTTGTGATCTGAATTGCTGAAGTAGCCACATTCTGAGGTCAAGCACTTAATTTTCAGGTTGCAAGTTCAATTCCAGATTTTAGGACCTTGCCCAATATGCTGTCCTTTTCAGAAGGCAGATGGGAAACACCCCCCTGCTCCATATGGTGATGGCTTTCCATACATTTTTGATGATGATGGAGGAGTTGATGAGCATGTATAGGGTAGAGAAGGTTTGAGAGAAGAAACTATCATGCATGTCAAGCTTTACATACATAACCTCATCCCAGATTCAAAATAGTCTAACAAATTGTTATTATTCATGTTTTTGGAAGTAGAAAGTCATTAAGAAGCAGAAACTAGTTTCACGCCACATGTTTGGTGGTCTCTAAGTCCCTTTCTGTTATCTCAGTTGTCTTCTACTATGTTACATATTGCTACAGATATTGCATAAAGGAATATGCAATTTGACTGTGTTCAAAACAACTGGCAAAATACTAAGTTAATTAAACTGAAATGCAGAATTTCTCAGAGCTTTTGATATGGAACATTTGAAATCTACAGCACTTGAATTGCCTGAGATTTATTTAAGTGTATTTGACCAGGGAACTTCTCTCCCTCCTCTTCCCCTGTGCACATCTCAGGAACCAGAACTCCCACAGAGGAACTTGAGGAACTCTACAATGACCCTGTGGCATTTCTATAGATGAATAAACTAAAAGTCAGGTCATTATGGCTTATACTAGCACATCAAACTAAAGCAACTAAATCAAATTAGCAAACTAATGGCTAGATTAAAGACCTGGAATCTGTGTTCTATATTAAACACCTTGCTGCTTGAATGGATTTCCAGTAGCAGGGCAATGCTTTAAAATGATCTGGCAAGATTTACTAAGCCACCAATTTGTTAGTGATTTCTTAAGTAATTGAAAAATTGATATGATTCCTTTGGAAAGTCATTTGGCCAGATAGGTTATAAAACCACTTGTATTCTTCTACGCAGTCATCCCACTCTATAGAATGTATCTTCAGTACATTATAGTGGACATAGAGCACCTGGATACTCAAACTTATAACTGTCTGACATTGGGGAGAGGAACAATATACAGCCATCACAAATACTTTGCATTCCTGCTATAAGTGGAAATACCATGATATAAAATGTAATACTCAGAATGATCTCAACTCATAAAAAGAGTGAAAGGAAATATAATAAAACATCAATGGTGGGAGGGTCTGGGGTCACTTTTGAATAATCATTTCCGTGTTCTTTTTCATGAGAATGTATTGCTTTTAGAGTCAGCAAAAACAAATTACCTTAAAAAAACATTCAGTGGAATGATAAGAGAAAATGTTGCTCATACTGATACTGGCCAAAGGCTGGAGCCCTGTAATCACTTCATGCGTGGTTCTGGTGAGCTTGGTGTGCTCTTGCTTCAGTGATAGCATTAGTGTATACGCCTCAGTCTAGACATCATGTCACAAAGCTTTTAAAACTACAGCAGCAGAATCCTGTTCTGTCTAAGCTTTTGCTTCCATCCATTAATACTGTTTTCTTCCATTTTGACATAACGCAGTCTCTGTGGGTTTACAATGACATTATCTTGACAATTTCTGTAGTGAGATGCAGAAATAATACTGGAGTCATTTTCTGTTCCCAAGCCTTCACCCTGAACCTTCTCTCCTACCTTTCAGTGACTAGAAATCGTGTGTTTCTCCATGTCCTTATGCTTCAAACTTTACTATTAAGACAACAGATGAGAAAAATGACATGTGGACAAAGACTTGGGTCATTTGCATGTCTATATACCAGGAGTATTTAGTCAGGTTCTAAGTGGGAATTAGGGCCAAATAATCTCCAAACAGCATCACTCTATTTTTTATAAATTGATTTCATTTTTTCCCCCTGCCTTTCCCTCCTTTGTCTCTTTCCCTTTCCTAAATATTTACTGAGCACCTTCCTTGTGTCTGGCACTATGATAGGTACTGGGACTTCAGTCACAAACAGTTTAATACCTGCGTTTAGAGTGCTTACAATCTAGTGAAGAGGACAGAAATCATGCAAGTCATGTTTTAAGTAAGTGCTAAGAAAAGATGTGTTGAAATGAACAAATTGTAAGAAGGAAGGCATCTAACATGTCTGGATATTGAGGATGGTTTCCCTATAGAGCTGATGTTTATGATGAGACTGAAAAACACCTAGGCGCTAACCAAGTAAACTGATAGTTTAATTCATTCAGGATTGGGTTTTGCAGGGGTGTGCTGGAGGGAGCAGGGAGGATTCAGGATCCAGAAAAGCAGTTAATATTTTAAAATGATGGCTCAAAAAACAAAACTGATTATAAAAGAAAATGAAGAGAGAATGCTCAGTGGAAGTCCAATGGGGGCCAACCAAGTGCAGTGAGAATCCTTGAGCATCAAAAGATAAAAAGGAGAAGGTGTGGAATCCTCAAGTAATTGCTGACACTGCACACACATTTAAGAAATGGCCACTTGTCATTTGAAGTATAGTATCAAAGACTACTTATGACCAGACTAGTGAAACACTCCTCCGCTATATAACTTTTCCAGCTGCATAGCTGGTTGAGGCTTGGTTCTTGTAACAGATTTTATCCAAAACAACATAAAACAACAGATTAAAATGAAGAAGCAGAAATAAGAATCCAGCTGCTTTCTGTTAAAGCAGACATTAGAGCTGTACAAAAGTGTAAAACAATGACATTCTTTCCACTAATTATTTTTCTTGGAAGAGCATTTCTAATAAAATCATGCTATTTATGGTAATGTAACAGATTTGCTACTGTAATTTTAATTTAATACAAATTTAAACATTTCTCAGTTTTGATTTCTTGAACATTGATAAATGCAGCCCTTTTGAAACAAAGGCTCTTTAGAGTCCTCAGACATCACTGGATTATGAGAGGTCCTGGGACCCAAGTTTGGGAACTAGAGTTAAAGAGGATATCACGATTACCCCAGCCTCCTGTCTAGGGTTTCAGCCTTGGAGGGTGCTCATTTATCACGAGTAGCACTCACTACATGAGATCTGCCATGTTTTAGGGAGATAATTGTGGCATTTATCACAGCAGAGGCTTCTGGCTCTCTGAGGCTGTGTCAGTTCATCTGGTGCAGAGCAAGTCTGCCCAGGGGCCTCACTAGGCCTGGCCACGGGCCCCAGAAATGGCCTGCGCAAAGGGCGACTGCTCCCAGTGAGGTGAGCTTGTGGATGGTCCATCTTGCCTGAGTGACCTGGGCTAGCTCCTGAATAGGCAAACTTAATAAAATTAAAAATATGAGTATGTATTCAGCCTTAAAGAAGAAGGAAATACTGCCATTTGTAACCACCAGGCTGAAACTGGAGGACAATATGCTAAGTGAACAAATCAGACAGAAAAATAATGTATGATCTCACTTGCAATGTAGAGTCTCAAAAAGTTGAACTCATAGACGCAGAGAACAGAATGACAGTTATAAAGGGCTGTGGTAGGGATTTGGGGTGGGCGGGTCAGAGGGTACAGGGTACACACTTTCAGTAAGTATCTTCAGTAAGAAGATACGTATGTTCTGGGCATCTTCTACATAGCACCATGACTGGTTAACCACACTGCATTGTGTATGGGAAGTGTACACAGTGTGTATCAATGTGAGCTGATAGATGTGTTAGTCAGCTTGATTGTGATGATTATTTCATAGCCTATATTTATAGCAAACTAACATGCTGTGCACTTTATATATGTTTGATTTTTATCTGTCAATTTTACCTCAGTAAAGGTAAGGGAAAAATCAGTGCCTGTTTTTGTACTATCAAGATGCCTTTATAAGACCTTTTTTGAACTTATAAGATGATTATCATAAAAATGTGCATACCTAAAGCAGGGTCTTTCCTCGCTTTAGGAGAGAGAGCCGGGAAGCTTCCTCCCCTGCACCAGTTCCCTGCCAGCTGAGCAAATGGTCTGAGTGGACAGGCTGTTTCCCATGCCAGAACAAGAAGGTAGGCTCTTTATGATGAGTCTGGGGGCACTTAATGTTTGAATTGTGTTCTAGGTACTCAAATGGAGATAAATAGTAGGGTCTGTAAGCCTAGCAGTATGGGGATAAATTGAGTCTGGAAAGAAGTATTTGGGAGTTACAGACTTGCAAATGGCTGAACTTTTCTTGCCTCTCCTGATTTTGTTTGCAAGGTATTATTGTGTGAGGCTGCAAGACATGTGTATGCTCTGGAGTATGTGCAGAGAAGTGTCCATCTGGACACAGGCATTCTGATCATGATGGCCTTTCTATATCCTGGCCAACCTATTTCCCTGCCCCCAGGATCATCTGGAGGGACGAATAGCTAACTGACAAAATGCCAAGCTGTGAAACACCCCTGGGAAGCTGAGATAAAGCAGAGCAGGCCACTGAGGATGTTCCTGAGGACCCTATTTACCTGGACTGATGTGCACAGTGAACCAAGGGCCTCTCTTGCCTATTTAAGTGGTTGTGAATGGTACAAAATGGTCACTAAACTCAGCAGCAGCACTCCACCCCGCCCCCCACCCAAGGCAGGGGGATGTAGGAAGCTCTCAATTCCGTTTGGGCAGGAAGGAGTGTTAACATTCTGACTGTTCTGAATCACTGACTCTTGTTGATAATGAAAAGAAGACTAACTTTGGTCTTATTTTGTTAAAATCTTTATAGGTAACAGGCACTTCACTGGATGCAGCCAGGTCCCTGCCTCCCCACATGGCTCCCCAGGGAATTTTATCTGTTGGCACATCACTGTCAAGGCTACGTCTTTAAGCTCTGACTTTACTATTTGATTCTGGCTTTGCATCTTCTTTGGTGTGCTATGTTGGGATTTTTAAAAAATACTCTGTCTGCTATTCTTGATCTACAAATGGGAATAGTAAAGGTATTTCCATTGTAGTTACTGGGAGCACTAAATTAGTAGGGTGTACAAGTACTTTTTGTGGCATCTGGAACATAATAAGCGTTCAATAGATGTTTTTTAAGTCACACCTTTGCCCTCCTCTCTCACTCCATCCCACAGCCTTCAATCAAGGCCTGCCCTTGCAGAGCCCCTGGTGTTATTCCCTCCAGGCCTGCTTCTGAATGTTTGATGGGCTATTGAACCACAGAACAGTAGAAACACAATTTGGACCTAGTTTACTGAACTTCAGAACCTATAATGTGTTATCCTGCCTTTCCTGTCTCTGAAATGCCAAAGAATTTAGACTGCCGCTGGTTAAACGTGTTCAGCCCCCGAATTCTCATTAGGCCTTGACATTCGGTATTAGTTATTTCAGTCTGCTGGAACAAATGACCACTAACTGGGTGGCTAAAAACAACAGATTTATTCTCAGTGTTCCTGAGACCAGCAGCCGGACATGAAGATGCTGGCAAAGCCGTCCTCTGCGGCTCTAGAGGAGGCTGGGTTTTGCCTCTTCCAGCTCCTGGGGCTGCTGCCAGTTCTGGGGGGGGCATTGTGCCCTACCTGCAGCCTATGCCTCCATGGGCACACTCTCGTCCCTTGCCTGTTTCTCCTCAGTCTCTGTGGGTCTGTACAAAGTCTCCCTTGGCCTGTATAAGGACACGGGTGGCACTTACAGCCCACCGGATAATCCAGAGTATTTCCTAATCTCAAAACGTTATGAATGTCTGCAAGGAAGCATTTTCCAAATTAGGTGACATTTACAGTTTTTGAGGAGGAGGACTTGATTTCCTTGCATGGCCATCAACCACCTGTTCTACATCCTATACCGTCAGGTGTTGCCGTCTAGGTAGCAGAGATTACCCGGGACGTAGTTTAAATTGGAGTTGAACTACTTCCTCAGTGACTCAAGACATAGTCTTTAATAGCAGCCTTAAAATAATTAAATTCTGTTCATTATTTAGGGAAAAGATCACCCTCTTTTTTTATTTTTATTTTTTAGCAACATTGTTCTTTCTTTTAAAATTACCCAAGCAATGATGTACATTTCTGGAAAGAAACATTACCTACCAGCTAGTAAAGGAGATTATGTCTTAATGACACTAACCACAGGCAATGACACGGAGCAGTCCCTGAGGGGGACTCTGCACCAACCTTTCTGTAACGTGATGTCTTCATCATTTGCTAGCAACTCAGACAGTAGGGAGTGGGTGGGAAGGAGCCTCTTGTCTGCACCATCACTACAAATACAGGAAGCCCAGGAGGGATGGCATTAGTAGTTACTATTTATTAAATGATTTTTATATTCCAGGCACTAGGCTAATGCTTTAAATAAATTGTTTTGCTGGGTTTTCATGGCCAACTGTAAGTGACAGATTTCATCACCCTCTTTGCTTAAGTTGCCCTTTAAGAAAGTAGCAGAACCCTGGGATTGAAACTAGGCAATCCCATATGACAGGCCATGTTAGTGGTCACTGAATCCAGGTCCCACACAGTCATTTGTTTTTCTGGAGTAGCCCAACAGCAGGAGGAGCCCAACATCTGACTACAATGACCCATGTTATAACCACCACGATGCAGTGCCCCCTGCAGCCAGATAAAAAGCTGATTTCTTTCCTGTATGAGCACCAATCTTCACAGCACTCTCCAGTCTCACTCATGCTACAGGGGAGGCACAAGGGACAGAGACAGGAAGCCATTCACCCAGTGATGTATGGATGTGAGCAGCAGAATGGAGTTCCAATCCAGTTTAAAACAGTACTTAACCACGTAAACAGGGTGAAAAAGTGTGACTAATAACCACCATTCAATAAATGGTAGTTTCTATCACCATGATCACCACTGATAACTGCAGGTTTTAAAACCCTGATGAACTTAGTAAGAAAGAGAATTGGTTCTACATTCAGTATGCGGAGCAGTCTTAACTGATTACATTATGGAGAAGGCAAGTGTGGGTAGAACATTAGAATATTCTGATATTCCCAAATGGACATTAATTATAATCTCTTACCACAGTTTATAAATCTCTTATGGATGTTATCAACTGAAAGGCAGAGGAGGCAAATGGACAGGTTTAAGCTTCACCTCTTTGACTAGCTGTGATTCATTCTTTGCTAATAAGCAGTCAAGTAGGCAGAAACAGACAAGAGGGGAGAAGACGGGAGCACTACATTGTTCTAGAACTCACCCACTGGAATCATCTAGAAAGACTTACTGAAAATAGTTATGTCATGGAACTGCATCTTTTTATTGAGTGCCAGTGATATGCCAGGCACAGGGTGCCACATCCATTCTGTCACTCCATGTTCATTCCATCCTCTCATTCCAGTATTGCCATTACACCCATTTTACATACTAGAAAACAGAAGCTCAGAAAAGGAAAGTGACTTGCTCATGGTCAGCTGGTCAGGGAATCTGGGCTCCAAACCCCAGTAAGTCTAATGTTTATGCTCACGTCTATTAACTGTAGTGCAAGAAATCATTAATAATTGTCAAGAGGGAAGTTACCACCTTACTTTACAGACTTGGAAACTGAAGTACAAAGTACCAGAACATAACATACTTTACACAATGAGTAAGAAATAGATTCAGGTCAGGAACTCTAACTGCTCCAATAACAGCTGGCTTATTTACTTATTGCCGTTCTTCAAAGAAGGTCCCGTGGGCTGAACCTACAGACAAAATAGCAGAACATGGCACTGTACCTTCCCTGATGGGACATCCTACATGTTTGCCTTTTAAACATTTTATATCCTCAAATAGACTCTAAATTTCTTAAAGGTGGTGGTGGGACCTTATCTTTCTCGGAATATCCTAATGTTCTGCTTCCTCCTCCACACTGTTCTTGACATGGTCCATCATGTGAACACAGTCATAGCAGCTGCAGTGCTGAAGCTGGTGTGCATTTTTATTCTTTCTTCAGCAAATACTTATTCCTCTGCAGTCAAAGCTTGACCTGAGACAAAGATCAGGGCTTCAGAGATCTTTGTCTTTCTGTCTCTTGAATGGGTTCTCACTACAGCATTGACAAGATAGCCACCTATTGTCCATAATTTTCAGCAAATTAAAAGAAGCTGTCTTTTCTAAGAGTTATGGGGGAAAAAAGTCAGAGAGAATTATGATTGACCAGGGTTGAGTCCTGAACTGATGTCTGAACCAATCATTGCCATTGCTGCTTTGATTGGCTGGGCCTCCGTCATACCTGACATCACTATAATTGAGGGGAGAAGGTCACCCCCACCTGACCCATAGCAGGAAGGGAAGCAAGGACCTCATGAACAGAAAGAACACTGTGAAGGAAACACAGCATATCTGCTACAGTGTCTCCCACACACCTGGCCTAGACCTATACCTACTGTGTGAGCTCAAATAGAACATGGGCTTTCCTTCCTGCACCCAAGCCTAACATAAACTAGTGGGAAAGGCAGACATATAAGAGACAACCCATAAAAGCTTTCATGACAAGGGCAGGAGCAAGGGAAGCCTAGGGAGCTGCAGAACACGTTACTAAGAGAAGGCACTGAGATGATAGGTAGAACTGGGTGAGGGCGGAGGGACAGGAGGAACAGAGCTACAGACCTCTGCTAGGGACTGTAGCTTTACCTTGTCCAAAATTGTCCTTTGATGCTTGGAGCCCTATTTAACATTCCAGTCGGTGACTACTACCGCTGGTTGCACATCACTATTTATAAATACTCACCTCTTAACAAGACAACTTTTTAAGCAGTCCTCAATCATAAGACAGCTGTTCCTTATGTTGAGCTGAGACCTGCCTACACACATCTTGGTTGACTGATAGACAATGAATGCATCTGGTTCAAATCTGATTTAGTACCGACACCGGAGCCTTCTGAAACCCAACAAGTTTGGGGGAAGCATCTGCAGTGGCGATATGTGGGATCAAGCCAGCTGTCACAGTCCCACAGCTTGTCTAAGTCAAGTGCAGTGTGGACAGGATTTCCAGTGTAAGGAGTCAGGTGAGTAGCTTCTTGGGAATAAACAACTGTGCCTGTCAAACTTAACATGCAAAATGCTTCTCTGGGGGAGCTTGTTTCAATGCAGACTCAGAGCCCTTCCTTGGAAGGCATCACTCTGCAGGCTTGGACTGGGGCCCAGGAACCTACATTTTAAGCAAATCCAGCAGCACAAGTAGTTTTGATTCAAATTTATAGGAACATCTGTGATTGATTTAGAAAAGATACAACTTATTTATTCATTCTTTCATTTAATATACATTGATTTGGTACATACTTTGCACGAGGCAATGTGCAACCTGCTGGTGATAGAGATGTGCTGGCCTCAAGGTACTCCTAGAGTCTTTGAAAGAACCTTAAGTGGAAGCCAAGACTATATCTTAGGATTTTCAGTGTGATGTTCCAAATGGACTCTTTAGCATGGGATGCCCAATGAGCTTTGTTGGGGATGGAGGGAATCACAGCAGGCTTTAAAATGGTACTTGAGTTGAGAGTTAGCGGGGAAAAAAAAAAAAGTTACCAGGAGAAAGTTACCAGGAGAAAGAATGTGCAAAAGCATAGGGATTTAGGCATTCACCATCATTCTTACATTGCCTTCCTTACATTCTTACATTATCTTCCTTTATCATTATAGATTGTAGCTAACTCCAAATTCTTCCAAATCAGATTTAATATTTTACATCATTTTGTGCTTTTAAGATTAAAGGATTTTTATTTAACCTTTATGATATAATATATTTCATCTAGCCCATCAATAAAAATCACTATCTCATAACTATGAATAAATTTAAAAATACTGCTGATTAAATAATTAATGACCAGTGCTTTGGAGAGAGAGAGACAAGAGATGGGTCGGGTAGGTAACAATGGCCAGACTGTGGCATTTAGAAGAAGAGGGATGGGGATGCACTGAAGGAATCGGAGTAGAAGGATGACATGGCCAGACTGGCATATTAGGAAGATCCCTGGGGCTGCAATGTGGAGGCTGAACTGGAGAGGGGGTGAGGGGTGAGGTCCTGAGCTGGGGGAAACATAGCACACTCGAAGGACAGAGAAGGTGAGGACCACAGAAAATGGAACAGGACAGATAGGACTGAAGTGTCATTTCTGAGGTGAAATGGACTTGATGACTATAGGTGTGGGTCATGAGGGGCAGGGAAAAGCCCACAAGTCTCTAGAAACATCCCCAGCCTCTCCTCTTGCAGGTCGCTGCCTAAAACGCCACCTTGTGTGTAACGGAGACATGGACTGCCTTGACGGCTCTGATGAGGAAAACTGTGAAGATGTCAGGGTCACTGAAAGTGACTGCAGCCACTATGACCCAATTCCCGGGTCGGAGAGGGCAGCCTTGGGGTGAGCTTCAATTAGTGTCTTCAATCAGTTTGGGGGACAGATTAAATAATTAAAGACCAGTGCATCCTGTAGGACAGTCCTCAAACCCCCCTTCTCCCCCCCACACACACACTTAGGCAGGTTCTCAGGCCACTCAAGCTGCTGTAAAAAAATACCTCCCACTGGGTAGTTTATAAATAATAGGAGTATGCTTCTCACAGTTCTGGGGTGCCAGCATGGTCAGGTGAGGGTCCTCTTTCAAGTTGCAGACTTCTAGTTGATTCTTCAAAGGGTAGAAGGGAGTTCCATGACTAGGGAGCTCTTTTATGAGTGCTTGTTCTCTTCATAAGAGCTTGATCTTCATTTCCTAATCTGAAGACCCCACCTCCTAATACCATCATGCTAGGAGTTAGGGCTTTGGGGCGACTCAAATATCAAATCATCACAGGTGGCTTGCCCAATCCTGCCTGCATGCCTTACCCCCACATCTCTGCCCAAAGAGCCACTTCTTGCTTCACTCTTCCTGTGCAACCACTCACCGTGTCACCGCTCACCTCCTCAGGCCAATTACATATGAAGCCTCCATGGAAGCCACATCTTCCATGCAGCCTTTTATGATGTCTCTGAAAGATTGCTCTTTTCTGACCCAAGCATGCCTCCTGGTAGCCCTGCTCATGTTCTGCTTGGCACTGTAGTTGTGGGTCTGACCAGGTCTAACGATACAATACAAAGGAATGGGCTTTGAGATGATGAGCAGGGCTTGAATTTCTCCTTAGCTTTTTCTTATTGACACCTCCCAGTACATAGCACTTGATTGACTAAGATTCATTTGTCTTGATTGTAACTTATGTATGCAATGTCCATGTTTGGTTTTTTACTACATCACACTTGTTACTTCTAAACCTTGAAAGACTTAGCTCTCTCTTTCTGGAATGGCCTTCCCCATCTTCCTAACTTGGCAACCCTCTTAATCTAATGTTAAGGGGCTGAATTATAGACACATAAAATTCATATGTTAAAATATTCAATAGAAGTTAAGCTATTAATGCAATTGAAAGGTTAGGATTTAACTACTCTATAGGTATACCACTTGCAAGAAGAAAAAAAAGGCAATTATAATAAATTAAAAATCAAAATCAACAGCCTATAAAATCAACTACAAATCAGAGACATTCTACAGAGGAGGGAGAAGAAGAAAGATCAACACAGGTGTGGGAAGAGTGCAAGGGACTATGGTGATGGTGCATGGGTAATTGTTGGTGGGCATTTCATAGGGACTAGACTGAGAGGGGAAAGCATACAGTACACAAAAATGAACCATGATGTAAAATATATAGAGAATTTAAAAATCAAATAATAAAAAAACCCTCATTCCCAGTGTGTCTATATTTAGAAATAAAAATAATCTTAAGATAATTAACCTTATTTATTTATGCATACAAGAACTGGGGTGTAGGCCAGAAATGGGGAGGGTAAAAGGATTCACCAGAGAGAGTGGGGACAGAACAGGTGGGTCTACTGAAATACACTGCTGAGGGGACAAGCAGGTAAAACAGGAGAGATCTGCTGTGCCATGTGGGTCAGATCCCTGGCCGGGATCCAACTCATGCCGCAGTGGCTGGTAGCAGCTTGACAGCACTGAGACTTAGGTCCCTGCACCACCAGGAAGGCCTCTGGAGATAGATCTTTAGGAAGGTGATTAAGGTGAATGTGGTCATCGGGGTGATAAATGGCGTCCCTATAAGATGAGGAAGAGACATCAGAGAGCTTTCTCACCTTATCACAGAGAAGAGGCCATGTGGGAACATAGTGACAAGGTGGAAAAGAGATCTCACCAGAACTATCACTTTGACCTTAAGCTTCCAGCTTCCAGCACTGTGAGAAAAAAGATTCTATGTGCTGAACACCCAGTCTGTGGCATATTTTTATGACAAGTCCAGCTAAGACATCTAGGTATTCTCTTCTCTAGGTGTTCTTCTTGACACTGTCTAGGATGGCTTATTATTCTCTCCTTGCTCCCAGAATCCCTCACGTGTCCCCCTCTCCCAGCACTTCCCCAGCAGGCCTAGGGCATCTGTCAGTGTCCACCCAGCCAGGCTGAGAGGTCCTCTCCATCTCTGCCTTCTAGCATCCAGCACAGGCCAAGTGAAACAGTGACTCTTGGTTTTGTCATTCCCTGTCATCTTGTCTTTTTCTTGGGTCTTGAAAATAAACTCTGAGGACAGAAGAAGCTTCTGACCCATTTTTTTCACTCCTCAGTCCTGATATCAGTTTTCCCTATAATGGCTCCTCACTGAGAGTTGAATTGAAACCAATCAATGTAACCAACTAGATCTTTACAGATGAGGAAAGAGCTGCAGCTCCCTCAGGGTCTGCTGCGTATCACGGCAGATGCTGCTCTCGCTTGCTGTGGCCTCATGGCCCCAGGGTTGCATCCACCTGCCAGAGGAGCTAGGATCCTCTGCATGCATGTAGACATACACATATGAGAAAATGATCAAACCCAATCTCCCTCTATTCCAGTTGTATTATTTTTCTTGAACCACCTAAACCAAAGTGGAACAAACTAGATGGTTTGAGCAACAAAAATTTCTTTCCTCATAACTCTGGAGGCCAAATTATATTATTCTTATAAATAACCTTGCAGTGAATATCCTCGGACATGTACTTTTATACACGTGGTTATTTCTGTATAGATTTCCAAAGAGTGAGATTTCTCTGACTACATATTTTCCATTTTCATTAGAGATCGTGCCACTAGCTCTCTCATATGTATGTTAGCTTAGTAACCTCTTCTGCCTAGAGCTGAGGTCACATCCTTGGGTTTATTATTCCTTTGAATTTTGATTGACCAACCAGAAAACCTGTATTCAAAGCTACCTGCAGAAATATATTCAGTGGGTATGAAGGTAGGAACTGCAGGGCTGGGTAAAGGGAAGGTATAAAGATTTTAGCATCAACAAATCTAGGAAAAAATTCAGCTGTGAGTCTATACTCACAAGCTACGTAATTTTTCTGAGCTTCAATTTTTGCATTTGCAAAATTGTCATGAGGTTGAAAGCTAATGTCTGCTTAATGTCCGAGAGAGTGTGTGTTCAATTCATCAAAGCTATTATTGCATCACTTCCACTAATAAAAAGAAAGAGATGAAAAAAGGAAAAGAAGAGGGAAGTTAAATTACAATGAATTGCCACTATGTGCTGTGCACTCTATAATTATCTATTTATTCTATCAAGGCAGGTTTTATTCACTATTTTTTCCTGCTCATCTTCTGCCTTTTCACAGAGGGTACAAACAAACACAGTGCATGGGATGCCAGAGGTAATCACTGAATGTCACAGGAACACAAGGAAGGAACAGCTGTCTGTTAGCATTCTCAAAGGCCATACAAAAGATGCACCTTTGACTTGGGGCTAAAAGACTGACTAGAAGTCTGAAAGACAGAAGCAGTCACTTTAATACCTACAGCATAAGGTGCTTTGATCAATAGGTCTTGTCAAGTTACATGCTTTTAATATCTCTTTAAAAATATTAAATTTGGGGCCCTCACAGTGGCATTGTGGGTTAAAGCACAGCATTGCAAGCTGGCCACAGCTGCTTCAGTATGAGTTTGAACCCTGGTCCCAGTGGTGATTCACATGGCACAGCAGACCTCTCGTCTCGCCCACTGCTCCCCTCGGCAATCTGCCTGATCTGCTCCCCACTCTGTCCCTAATGATTCCTCCTACTGCTCCTGCAGCTCTGGCCTGAACCCCAGTTCTGTGTGCATATTAATTAATTAAAAATATTAAATTTGTATTTTAACTGCTTAACATTATTTTACCTATGTAAAATCTGTCCATGATATAAAGCCTGGAACTTGAGCAGAAAGATTTGAAAAAACCCAGAGAAGTATGGAAAAATACTTCTGGAAGGTACGAGGACTGGAGGACTGAATCATTTATTGAATATGTAAAAGATACTATCTACTATGCTTCTGTTTTACTTTATTTCCATCACTTAGACTTCAAAAAATCCTAAGAGATAGTTTTATTAAATCTATTTTCAAATGAGGAAAATTAACTTCAAAATGTGACTAAACTCACACAGAAATTAATTCTCCCTGAATTTCAAAGTCTGCATCCCTCAACACTGCATCTACCTGAGGACAGAGGCCTTTTGGGATTTCTAATTTAGCACTATGAGCTACATACAGTATTTCAAATTTATTAATATTTTAGCAGCAGAGTCCTTTTCTGAAACAACAGATGAAAATATCAACATTTTGGTGCTTAGCATCTGCTAAGTACTATCATAATTTCTTTACATGTTTTAACTTAAATTGAACTCTACCAGGGTGGTACTAGAACTGCTTTTCACAAGTACTAAAGTGTGGCCCAGAGAGGCTAAGTGATGTACTGACGATTACACAGTTATATGTGGCAGATAGGGAAACTAGGCTCAGACTGTCTGATCCTGAGCTTGATTTTTGTGTCCACTCTTCTCCATAACTTATTCAAAAAATATTTAGGGGCCTCTGCTATGTGGCAACACTGTCCCAGATGCTAAATGGAGCCCTCTGTCTTTTCAGGTTAAAGGGAACTTGGGAACCAGCTTGAGCCCTCTTTGTCTTCCTTTGTTATTCAAAGCAGCCTTTGCCTTAATTCAAGGAACCCTGAGGTTCCACAGAACATAACTTGAGAAACCACTGCTCCAACTACCAAGTACATTTTCTAGAGGATACTTTATGCTCTCTTGGTCTTTCTAGTGCTCTCTCCTAGAAGCTGCCTGCCTTTTTAATGTAGGTATAATATCCTGACCCGGGAAGAAAGGCAGAGTGTGTATGATGCCAAGTACTATGGAGGCCAGTGTGAACCAGTGTACAATGGGGAATGGCGCGAGCTTCGCTATGACCCTGCCTGTGAGCGCTTCTACTACGGAGAAGACGAGAAGTATTACCGGAAACCCTACAACTTCCTGACGTACCACTTTGAAGTAAGTCTGAACAGGCAACTGCCACAGGCTGTTGACAGAGGGCGAGAGCTGCTTTACATAGGTTTCATTGCTGATGGTGACACTCCCTTTCCACCTGCCCAAGGGGCACACAGTGCTGACATTTAAGCATGGCCGCCCACCTGCTGAGCTTCCGCTCCATTCAAAATCAATAAAATATATTTAGGGCCCTGTTCTCTGAGTTGGGAGTTGAAAACCTATCTCCCAGTACTGGCTCTGCTAGAATAAAAGACCTCAAACTGCCGACCAGTTTTCTAATAGATAAAATGGGGGGTGGGTTGGCTTGAAGAACTGCAACCCCACAATTTCCTGCAGGTGGCAGAGTAGGGGCTCTGTGTCCATGTGCCCACATCACCAGAGCATGCTACACTGATCACTTTCATATTTTGGCTTTCTGTATATAATTTTGTTTTAGAAAAAGTTCTGCTGTTTAAAGGTGCTCGCTAACTGCTGATGGTCCCTAGCATTCTCTCCATCTGTAAAATCTTGTGGTCCTGTTACAGAGCAACCTAATGAGAACTGGGTTACCTATCTGTGGCCTTCACCCATGGCTTGAAATTCAATTGTACTGCAGGGACACACAAAAAGGGTCAATAATGGGTTTATTTACAAAGGGGAAAGAAAAGGAACAACCCAGGGAAAGAGAGAGAGAGAGATACAAGTTAACTGGAACATCCTACCAGCTCCACTGACTTGAAACTCCAATTAACACACTGATAGCTCATCAAGAGCCAAAGGACAAGCCACCAGCCAAGCAGTCCAGAGACAGAGAGCATGTGTCTAACATGGCTCCCTTATATATCCCCCAAAGTGTCAGAATGCCTGCTTAGCTCCACCCTTGGGTCCTCTCAGTTCTCCCCTAGGTATTGCTGGGAGTTGTAGTTTCAATAACTGGAGTAGGGGGTGGCGTCCACAAAACTCTGCTGAGTTCCTTCAAGACATCCTTTCTCCCTAACAGTCCCTTGGTCACTGGGAGCACTACATCCCAGCTTCTAGCCTGCTCATGGGTCCTTTAAACTTCACTTTTGAGCGAGTCAGCTATGTTACAAACTTTGTTGAATGTTTACCACGTGTTAGATCTGCTCTTTCTAAATAAAAAATCTCCCGTTTCATCCTCCTAACACAAGGGGATAGATATGATCACAGTTCCATTTTAAATATACAAAAAGAAGAAAAAAAAACCTACACAAACTTAGAGGGATAGAGCATCAGGTTCAAAAGAGGCATAGAGGTAAGTTTCAAAACCAGATCTATGTGAACTAACCAAGCTACATGTCATTCATATTATATCTGTATACTCATAGATGACAGGATCCTAGATTCTCAAGAGAAAAATATTGACAGACGATAAGGTCAGTCTTACGGAGCCTGTTTTTAAGAAGTTGGTCCCCCTTTTCCCACCATTAGACCTATGGTAAGCCAAGCTGGGAAATGTAGATAGATGATGCCATTTTCCTAACATCATGGGCAGTCTAGGGTCTACATGTCAGGTGAGACAGAGTAGGCTCCACTTTAGTGACAAAGGATTCTGAAATCTCTGCAATTGAAATCAACAATGCCTTACATATGCTAGATGTCCATTCTAAGGTGAGAAGAAGCTCTAATCATCAAAGACAGCAGGGTCCAAATGAAAGCTCCATTTCAACACATGTTCTCTTGGCCACAGAGCAAACTGCCCGTGGTGTTTAAACCTTCCTCCCTCAGCTCAAACAAGTATTGAGATTGTGCAGCAGTTCAAGTTAGCAGAGAACTACAGCCCTACTGTGTTCCTAGAATGAAATAACCAGATATTTGTGGTCCAGTGAGAGCACATCACTGCTTAGAACTACCATCCTCTGCAGCTTCCTGCCCCTTTGCTCACAGGCCCACGCCTGCACATGATTTTCTGCATCTTTGTACTGCGAGCTATGTCTACAGTCTTTCTCTAAAGAAAGAGTGAGCCAGCTGGAGAAATCAGGCCGACATCCCCTTTTATTAGAATCATCTCTGTGTGTGTTGTAATAAATATTTTAGTGCTATCTAAACAGACTAAACATTGCTGTATTTTCTGTATTACAGTTTCAATCTAATGCCGAGATTAATCTTTTGAAAATTATTTATAAGCTACAGTGACCAACACCTGAGGGAAGAAATGCTATTTTGTTGAGCTATTAACAAGGATGTAAAGCATTGGTACTACATTTTAAAAATTAAAAATACAAATTACTTATAATAATTGAAAAATTTAGATATCTTTATAAACCAATGATATTAAATATGAACTGGCTGACAACAGTTCCTTTCCTCTCAGGCTCTGGCAGATACCGCAATCTCCTCAGAGTTGTATGATGATATAACTGACCTTCTGACTCGACTAAAAGACGACAACTTTGTGTCTGCTGGTGTGACCATTGGTGTAAGCCCTGCAGGCAGCCCATTCATGGTGGAAGGAGGTCTATCTGGATCAAACGACAAATCCCTCTTGAAAATGTTAACCCAGTACAATAATAAGGTACTGAAGCATAAAGCCTGTGTCACACAGTATTCCATAATCTACACTGAACACGTATTACCTTAATTGCATTTAAAAAGTACAATAGTAATTGAACCTTAATTTGGTTGTGTAATTGGAAATGTCTGATCAGTGGTAATCATGTTTATTTTTCTTATTACGCTTTCACACACAGAATCGTCACAAAGGAAATAAAAGTGAATGATAAGGCTAAAACTCTTATCACTTCACCCCATCCTTTCTTGTGATTACCTGGAGCATAAAGGGAAATACTTTGAATGGTAATGTCTTCAAGGGAGGTAGTCAGGCCCTCTAAACCAGAAGGGAAGGCTTCAATACAAGGCTTGTTTTTCTAGATAACTGGAGGGCCAGGCTGCCCCATCCTTCACTGTTAAATATTCACCACTAGTCCCTGTTACTCTTAGTGGTCAGTCAACGCATCCCTGAGGAAAGGACATTACTTCAGCTGACCTGTCCTCATAAAGGGAGGCAAAGTTAATTGAATGGTATTCCAGGCATGGAAATCAGCATGTGCAAAGGCCTGGAAATGAGAGGATGCCCCACCTCAGTTTGGGATTGAAAGCATCCTGCAGAGGTAGCACAGGTGGAAGGGAAGGAAGGCATCTCAAGGACAGAGCAGTCATCAGGAGTTGGAGAAGTAAAATGATTAGACACTTAGCCAAAATCTCAACAACACTGATATCAAAACTGGATTCAGTTGGGGCTCAACACAGACTTTTGGCTAACGAAATCAGTTATAAAAATTAACTTCAGAAGCCCAAGTTATGTTCTGCAGCTTTACCAGAAATTAGCTCTGTGCTCTGTCGATTGCACATTAATATGGACCTTTGTGAAAGCAGGTGGCCTCTTTACTAATTTCCACTAACATTTGGAGCCAGGTTTATATTACCTTGAGCTAATGTCTATATATGACATTTTCCTTTTAAATCAGTGCAGTGTCACTCTGGTTCTATCTATTTTGGTTATATTAGGATCTTGCTTTCCTTTATTAATTAGCAGGACAAGAGTACCACTAGAATGTAAGCTCCATAAAGGCAGGGGCTTATCTCATTTAAGAGTATATCCTCTGCACTTAGCCTACTGCATCAGGTTACAGGAATTTATAGATATATTCTCAATAAATTAAATATATATGTAATACTGTAACTTTGCTAGGTCATCAAAAACACTCATAAGCATAATTTTTCATGACTACCTATTGCTTGTATAGAAGATTGCATAATGCAGCACTTTAATTAAAGCAGGGAGAAACATGAACATGAGAAAGGACTAGAGGAGAACAGAGGTGGGAGAGAGTAAAGAGGCCATTGTGATAAGTACTCAGGTGAAAGTAGTGCACGTAACCAGCACTGGGGCAATAGTAACACAGATGAAAGCAGAAGAAAAGAAGCTAGGCATATACTGGTGTCTAATATAAAATAGCACTCTATTGGGCCTTCCTGGTGGCTGGCACAAGGGGTTAAGTCAGCACTATGAAGCTATTGGCAGCCACTGCAGCATGAGTTCGATCCTCTGCCAGGGAGGTGACACACATGGCACAGCAGACCTCTCCTGTCTCACCTGCTGCTCCCCTCAGCAGTATATTTCAATCAATCTACCTCTGTTCCCTACTGTGTCTGGTGAATCCTCTTACCACCTGAACCTCTAGTCTATACTCCAGTTCTAGTATGCATAACTAAATAAATCTTTTAAAAAATAGCATTATCAAATATATTTATGCCCATATATTTATATGTAAATATGTATGTGTACATACGCACATTTGCCAGTTACTATATGTTGATCTTTTGCATTATCTCAATGAAATGTAAGCTTCTTTGTTTTTTTCCCCATCATTCAATGGGAGGTTTTTGTTTTGGCAGAAATATCAATTCATGAGAATTTTCACAAAGGTGCAGACTGCTAGTTTTAAGATGAGGAGAGACAATATCATGCTGGATGAAGGAATGCTGCAGGCATTGATGGAGCTTCCAGACCAGTACAATTACGGCATGTATGCCAACTTCATCAATGACTACGGTACCCACTACATAACTTCTGGATCTATGGGTGGCACTTATGAATTTATCTTGGTACTTAACAAAGAAGAAATGGCTTCATCTGGTAAGTAGAATGGAAGCTTTATTCACACAGTAGTTTGGTTCTCTGACTACTGACTATGAGCCTTCCATGATCTAATTTCATCTTCATAGCAACCTTTCAGTAGCATTACTATTTCCAGGGAACTAAAATCCAGAAAGGTGAAATGTCTTTCTTTACCACCAACAGCACTCAACTCAGGTGTGTCTGAGTTTTCCATTATACTACAGTTATCTCTTCAATAAAAAAGAAACTTTGGAATTTTACCTATAATGTTAAAATTGATTTTAAATGCAGATTCTTGACTAGTGGAACTGCCCTGCAATTGATTAATCAGAGTCCTGGGGTCATCCCAGATTCCTCCTCCCATTCATCCTTGTCCAACTTGAGGTCCTAACCTGGCCTCTTCGGTTCTCGCCCAGTATTGGTCTTCCAGCAGCGCTGACCCTACAGCCACAGAGGGCTCTGCTCTTTCACTTTCTACTACATTGGCTAAGTGGTACCATGGGGAAGGCTCACCCCTTCCAGTTCATTCCTGACAACCCAGTCACCACCAGAAGGGCCTTGCTACCACAGATCTGATGACTTCACTTCCTTGCCTAATTTCCTAAATGGCTAAGCGCAAGAATCTATTTTCTTTTTTTTTTTTGCATGACTTCAATTGCCAGTTTCAGGTCATTTCTCCCAACTGTACCAGGCCAGGTTGTCTATTTCCTTACTTCAACATACTCATATAAATTCCTCACTGTGTAGTCTTTCAAACATAAAAATCTAAATGTTCATATTTTTCTCTTCATCTAGACAGCAAGATCTTTGAAAGTGTCAAGTTTGACACTTATATTTAGCACTCAACACAGGCGTTAGAGCCTAATAAGTGTGCAGAAAAAGACACAGAGTTTGAAAGGGAGCACCGATTAGATTTCTGGCTGGGCTCATATATTATTCACCCATCTATCCTTGCATTCATTCCTTTATAATTCAAATATCTAATGTCAATATGTTCTAGGGATACAGTAATCAATAACCTAAATATGGTTCCTACCCTCCTATAGCAACTATACTTTTCAAACTTCAGGTTACAACCCAAGAGTGAATCCTGATGATTAATGTATGGGTTACATGCAAAGTTTTGTGCAGCAAAGGACAGGACAGAAAATATCACAATGGATTGTAGGCACAGAAGGCACTGTAGGCAGTAGAGAGAAATAACTGCTTCAGGAAACATTTTCCATCAAATAAAGATATGCATATATACATAGTTAGTCATGCTATAAATAGTTTAGCATGCATCAATATTGAAAAAGAGTGTGGAAACTGTAGTAAGTGGGTCATTTAAGGAGAAAGGAAAAAGCACTGACATTTGTTGAATACCTACTAAGTTCCATAACTACCTATATCCTCATTTCATTTTCTTGACCACCAACTTAGAGGTTGGTGCTATGCCAGTTTGAACCCCACGGTTCCTCAGGGAGGTTAATTACCTTTCCCAATGCCACAAAAGCTCAGAACCCTGGACCTCGGTCTTTTTGCCACGTGATCACGTAGAGCCTTTCATTCGGGTTTTGGCGCTGGATTACTAATTAATTGCCTGGAGTATCTCATGGTCCCTTCTCTTTAAAAATCTGTGAGGCAGAAATGGGTTTCCAATGTGGTTAATATTCAAAAGGAGCCCACCACCAAATTGTCCCAGGGATAATTACCTCAGCTCTGTTTATAGAAAACCATATGTCGATAATAGCACAATTTGCTATTTGTGAAGAGCTGATTTTCTATAAATCTGGAAAGTTAGTGTTGCTTTTCTATAAATATGGAAATGTGCTAATCATCACCTCATCTGCTGGAGACCGCTAATAAATCAGAATGTCATTTACATATTAACCTACAAAGAACAAAAACATCTACCTTCTTTCCCTTTGACAGATCATGCGCATCCTCTTTCCATGTTTGATGTTTGCCTAGTTTCCTTTGTCTCATCCCATTCTCTCTTTTTTTAAAGGTTTATTTATTTATGCATACAGAACTAGGGTACAGGCCAGAAGTACAGGGGTGGTGAGGGAACAGAAATAGGCCAACTGACGAAGTACACTGTTGGGGGAAGCACCAGGCAGATCATGAGAGGTCTGCTGTGCAGGGGAAGCACCAGGCAGATCATGAGAGGTCTGCTGTGCAACGTGGGTCACCTTTGGGGTGGAGATCGAACTCTCACTGAAGCAGCTGTGGCTAGCTTGTAGTGCTGTGCCCTAACCCATTGCTCCACCAGGGAGAGCCCCCATTCTCTCTTTCTCAGACAGGCCTTGCCTGGTAACATAGTCAGTTCCCTCTTTGTTACAGCAGTCTATTTAGGGGCCTTCCCTGGTGACACAAAGGGTTAAAACACAGCCCTATGAAGCTACCGGCAGCCACTGCACCATGAGTTTGATCCCAGGCCAAGGAGGTGACCCACATGGCCCAGCAGACCTCTCCTATCTTGCCTGCTGCTCCCCTCAGCAGCATATTTCAGTCAATCCACCTATTCTGCTCTTTACTGTGTCTGGTTAATCCTCTCATTCTCCCCCCCCCCACCTCTGGCCTGTACCCCAGTTCTTATATGCATAAATAAATCAATCTTTAAAAAAGAAATGACAATTTACTTAGTAGTTACTATGTTATTGTGCTTATTTGCTTATTGTCAGTTCCATCTTTCTAGAAAACACATTCTGTGAGATCAAGGATTATTTGTTCTGTTCACTGCCGCATATTAATTTTATAGGACAGTGTCTCGCTAATTTTGGTTCAGTGAGTGAATGAAGTGATCATTCATTCAAATATGTATTTGCAAATATGTTAAGATTTATACAGAAAGTGAGCATGTTGTAGAAATAGAGAATACCTGAGTAACTGAGGGGGGAGAGGAGACATTTTTTCTGAGGATAATCTCTTTGACAAGGTAAAATCTAGACTAAGATGCAGTTCCAAAGACAACTGGAAGGTTGTTGGGCAGATTGACAGCTGGTGTACTGGGAGTTTAAAGCAGGCACGTGTGGCTGAAGCCTTGTGGAGAGGGGAGAATAGCAGGAACAGGGGTTGGAAGAAATCTAGAGTGGTGCCAGAGGGTCTTGCCCAATTAGTAAGAGGTATGGTGCCTGTCTGCAGGAAAATGGGAAGTCATGGCAGGGTTATCAGTGGGGCTTGGTCTATCCTGAATCAGCAGTGCACGCAGAGCACAGATCAGAGGGGGTGGAGTGTGTTCAGGGAGAAGCGTTGGAAGGAATAAAGATGGAGATGATAGAATATGATGGGCTTGATATATATATAATCTTTTAAAGCTTAAAAGATTAATTTTACTTATGTATGCATGCAAGAGCTGGGATATTGGAAAGAGGTGTATGGGGGTAAGAGATTCACCAGAGACAGATTGGGGGGCAGAACAGGCAGATCTACTGAAATACACTGTTGAGGAGAGCATTGGGCAAGTGGGTGAGACAGGAGAGGTCTGCTGGCCACCTCCACAGCCAGGGATCAAACTCTTGCTGCAGAGAGCTTCACAGTGCTGAGACTTAACTCATTGTGCTACCAAGGAGGCCCTATTTGCTATATATTTGAAAGACAAATTTATATATAGATAATTTGCAGGTGGACTAGGTGTAGATTTAAGGTATAAATGACTCCTTCCTCTAAATTTTATTTCCCTCCTGTACCACACACACACAGGGCTGATGCATGAGGACATGATGTGTTAGCCTGGTGGCTGCCAGATTCCTGGTAGAGATGCACTTGAGGCATATGAAAATATGATAGGTAATCTGGGGCCAAAAGACAACTCTGGGGTCTATATGTTTTAAGTTCATACATTATTCTAGTTGTAATTACTTCTCTCTTCTAGACAACAGATGTTTTTATATAAGTACTGTGTTTTTTCTCCTGGGATATTTTTTGTATCTGGCACAAGGCTGGGCCTGGAGTGGGTGCACGAAAATTATTTGTTGAGCTGAAATGAACATATCCTACTTCTTAGACTACCAGTTCTCCACTACTCTCTTCTCCTACCTGCCCCTGATGCAGGGCCCAGCCCTAGAGAGCATCCTTAGCACATACTCCCTATTGGATCATCATCCTCCCTTCCTCCACACCATCCTCACTTCCTTCCTGTGAGCCCCATCTGGATCCATGACAATTTCCAAATATCTGAAAGAGTCTCAAGAGCAGTTGGCTCCTGCAGGCAATCATATGCCATCTCACCCAAACTCTGGACTGCCCATCCCCCCAAGTTCTTTCTCTGTCAGAGACACAACCAGCCTCCCATAAAACCAACACAGAAATGGCAAACAATTAACGCTAGTATATGCCACACATTCTTACTAAATGCTCTCACATTCATCTTCTCACTTAGCTTTTAAATCTCCCCCCCAGCTTTGTTGAGGTATAAAAGATTGAATATTCATAAATGAAATTGTAAGATATTTAAAGTGTACACCATGATAATTTTACATGCATAAACATTGAGAATGGATTCCCTCATACAACACACTCATCACTTCCATACAACACACCCATCACTTCCTATCTACACATTTGCCTTTTTCTTTTGTGACTACACTTAAGTTCTCTTCTCTGAGAAAATCCCAATTATCCAATACAACATTATCAGCTATAGTCACCATTTTAGATTCTCAGATTATATTCATCTATAACTAAAAGTTTGTACCCTCTTGCCAATCTCTATTTCTCCTACAACTTAAGTGGGAGATTGCCCCAGGCAATCACTTTTCTACTGTTTCTAAGTTGACTTTCTTAATTTTTAGATTGACCAAGTAAGAGAAATCATGTAGTATTTGTTTTTTCCTGTCTGACTTATTTAACTTAGTGTAATGCCCTGAAGGTACAGCCATGTTGTTAAAAGTTAGGATTTCCTCGTTTTTTAAGATCAAGTAGTATTCCACTGTATATACACATCACGTTTTCTTTATCCATCCCTCTGTTGATGAACAATTAGGTTGTTTCCATACCTCACTTATTGTGAATAATGCTGCTATGAACATGAGATG